CGGTTCAGCTAAACTCAAGGCAGCAATTTTCAACGCCTCCGGGTGAATACCGTCCGCGCCCTGGGAGCTGTATTCGCGCAACGACGTCAGCCGTTTGAATACGGCTGCTGTTTTAAAAGTTGTCGTTAAGACATGATGGCTACATGATCTGTGTAGGCATGGTGTAGGGTGATTGCACACTGGAAGGTACGACCAAATTGTCGTCCAAGTACGTTGGCCATTTGTGCTAACCCACGTGCTGTGTACAGAGCAGGAATTCCGCGCTTAACCCTTCGAAGTTTGTTGACGTGTCTATATAGCAGCTTGGGGTTATAGAAAAATTTTACCACATGTTCTCGTTGTGTTGTATAGACGTCCCAAGTGTCCTCGCTCGGAGAGACTATGTGGGTGAGCCATGTCAAGTCCCTCATTGCCCTGCATTTCCGAGTTCTGCTCCTTAGGAACGACTTCATCTGTTTAGGTCGGTGGATTTTGGTTTCTGATGTGCTAGCCACAGACCTGTAGAAGTTAACGAATTCACCGCAGACCACCTCAGAGACCATTCGGCTAGAAAAGACCAGCTTGTTGCATCAATGAGTACGGACAGGTTGTCATGGTTGGATACGACGTAAGATCCCTCAATATATTCTTTAAGATACACTGTAGCACAAATATTGAAACACTATTATCACACGATTGCTGCGGCCCAATTAAGTGCACATTGTTACTACATCGATACTGAGTTTCTCCTTGGTAAAAACGATGTCCAAGATGTTCGGCTGATTTCCTCTCCTGAAACGTGTCAGAGAAGTGACATGGTTGTACAGTGGCGAACCATCTCTTGCAATGCCGCCTTGAATTGTTCACCCAGAGTGGCCGGGCTTTTTAAGCTGTGCAGATTGAATTCCCCTACCGAGAGAACGTGGCTGTAAAATCATTTCAGTAGATTCTTCATAGCAGAAGCTAGGGCCTGATTCAATTCTAAAATAGACATTGGTGGGCGATGTACAATGGCCACTAAGCACATGTAGCCGTGCCTTAAGCGTATTCAACACTATAAGGCGTCCATGGTTTGTATCCCCGGGGTCGTGTACGCGGTCGATGAGAAGGTCGGAACGGTAGTAAACAATTACACCACTTCCCTTTGTACGTCGGTAGTTGTGCCAGAGTGACCTACTAGGCAGTGCGATTTCGGTGTGTCGGTAATTACGTCCTTCAGCCATGCCTCGGTTCCCATGATGAGGTCCCAACCAATAGCGGTTTGACGAGATCGACGCTTGGGCAATTTACTGCAAAGGCCTTGTACGTTTGTATACAAACAACTGAGGGCAACGGATGCCAGAAGCTAATCTGAACACAAACGTTTCCCGTGAATTTACGGCAACCGTTGTGGGGCCGACTGACCATCTTTTTTGGATGTATGTCTTTCCAACCCCCCAGGGCCGTTTCGGTCTGCTGTATAGAGCACGCACTACCTTATCCTTCAGAGGCGAATTATAACGGATTGTCAGTTGTTTCCTCTTCGGACGGCTGGAGAGTTGCACTGCGCTGCTACTCGGAAACGCAGACAGCTTGGCTTGCGACAATTTCTCACTGGTTTTGTGTTCCGTAAGCAAATAGCTGACTGGCTTCGATCGCCTTCGGACTTATTTCTGATAGGTTTGGTGCGTCTTATCCCGACTTCCGAGCACCCTTTCAACCATTTGTTTGGAGTAGAACAGGACTTTTAGCACCCTTGGACCACTTCATTTGTAGTTGGGTGAGGTTGAGTTGACAATCACGTCGTGGGCGAAGAGGGCTTCGCGGATGGAGACATTGAAATATCACTGTTTTCGTGTGGTTTTCCCGTTTCAGAGTTATGGTCAGATGAAATTCGACCAACAATGCAAAATTCCGCCTAACGAGCGTACTGTTTTCTATTATTGGCATCAAAACCACAACCCTGGGTATTTGGACGTTTCATTGACTCCATGCTTCGGCGAAAAGAGCGAAGCAAGCGTAAAGTCAGTCTTTATACTTTAGCAAATTTGCGGAGAGATCTCTTTTCATTTCATGTGCCTCATAATTCACGCCATTAGTTCTGACAGTTCTACATTCCATTCCTTACAGTATCTCTGGGAAAACTTCCGATCAGCTTCTTTCTAGGCCTTTTCTGAAGGCTATTGGTGCGTCTCATTTCACTAAATCGGGAGGTTTTTTGTTCCAGTTGCTCGATTCCCGATTTGTGAAGTATTTTGCTCAGATATCCAATCTAGCCCTTTTGTTTGAGGCGTTAACCGACCTCTTTGCAGATGCTTTAGTGTGTGTGTATGTGTGTAGCATATCCAATTTGCACCCAATCAGATTTCCTGGGCATGCCTACCTACCTAATTATCGTGCTGTTTCTCTGTCCCTCTATAAGCTACCACAATCTGGAGCCCATTTACATTAATGTCCCTTGTTTTTCCGTAGCTATAACTGATCAGATGTCTACATTCCCTGTTTACATTTGGATCAGCACTGCGTTGTACAAATCACGTTATCTTTTGGTCGGCTGTTTTGACGATCAAGTTCAGAAAGCGAAACAATACACAAAGCTTTAAGCGGACAATTGTTTTCCATTAATTCTTCGTCAGGCTCATGCAATAACATATACATTAGGGTATTGTCTATTGCAATCGTCAGCATAACGAAGAAACAATTGATCAGAAAATTTGTGGTCATGATGGCAGTCATTTGCTCATATGACTGAAGTCAGATGGAGTTGCGGAGTGCCATCACTTCCTTCCCGTCTGGTAGTCGGCCACGGAAGTTGTAGTGTTTGTAGCATCTTCTGGGCACACAAGTCCGGGTTTGTCAGGCGTATGCAAACCGCCTCAGCGGTAGCAAGTAAGCTTGCTCCTACACGATGTTTATGCCTTGGTGGTATTCTGTAGAGAATCTGAAAGAATGTTTGTTCGTTTATCGGGTGGCCTGTGTTGACTAAATGGTTCGTACTCGCGCTTTAATTTGTCCTATTCTCGCGAACTCTATGACTCTATTGGCACAGTGCATGCGCCACCACTTGCTGGTCCATGGTGCCTTCCGAGCACGCATTCGCGTGTTTATCGCGCACTTCCATCCCGACTGCTTGCACCTATGCATGTGATCGGGGTTTAGCCACTAAGACCTTGCCGTGCATTTGTTTCGTGATGTGAATAAATTATTTACGCTAGCCTCACTGTGTGCGTCTAACCGCGGGTGTGCTTGTGGTGATCAAATCCGGTACTACTGTGCCAAGAGTCAGTAGTATAGCATTACTAAGAGAACCAGGCAATTAGGTGTCAACAGCAGACCATAACTATCTCAACTGAAGACAAGTGCTTGTGAGGTGCAGATCTTGGGGCACTAGGATTGGATACAGAAAAGCGCCGGCCCCGCAACCTGTAGGAAAGAGTTCGGAGGTGCGTGGAACGGTTGGCGATCTGAGCTGAAGCAGCTTAGTTCACTCAAATGCAAACACCGCGTGCGCAATGAGCGTGTTCGGTGTTACGTATCAGATACTGGAAGGGCGAGAGAAACGCCCAGCACCGTTATTTCATACGTCAGGCTCCGATGGCTGGGCCACGTGTTACGCATTCCAGCCCACTGACTCCTGCCTCTTGCCTTGTTGGAGCGCCGGTGGTCTAGATGGAATGAGTGGAGCGGTAGTCAGGCGATGACTTGATCGAGAGAAATGTATGTCCTCACTTCGAAGTTGGCGTCGGTTGGTGTGTCCCGACTGCCTGGCTTGGGACCGAAGGACGATGAACACATTTGATTGAGTATAGCAGTTGACATGGCGAAGGTCCGACCTCAGTGGCGTTTGTGATGTGTCTCTTTGTCCCTCTCCTTCCCGCTTATCTTTCTCCTCTAACAGCGATCTCACACTTCATCGATACTGTTACACTTAGCATTATAATCCTTGCTTTTTAAATTGTGTATTCTGTAGTGTTTAGTACCTTACTTTTTCATAAATCTGTTATAATGTGGTACAGTTAGCATAAGTGTGTTTCTCACCTTCAGCTAATTAGTAATGATAACGATCACGCATATGGTTTATGTTCTTCGCCACACAGTACCTCCGTTCGCACTTTCGGTTTTTGCACTAATGATGTGACAAATATCATCAACCGTATGCATCAACTATGATCATCCACCCTGCCACGCACCTTTGGACTCTCTCCTTGAGGTTTGGCGGCGTGTGCTCCTTCTTTATATATTTTTATTGCGCATAAATCTGCGGCTCCCCAAGGTTTTTCTTTTGTTGCAGCGTTGGCATAGCCCGCTGTTTGCCCATTAACGTCTGGACTTCTTGGTGCTTCTATATCATTAACTCTTGGCACAGTGGTGCTTACTTTCATTCCACTACAAGATGCACGGAACTGTGTTTTGTACCCGTTATCATCGAGACCGCATCGAATGTTCTCACTGTACGCCGTCAGAACGCTATCCTAGACAATTCCTCGTTATCTTTCACTTTGTCAGTGGTCAACTTTTAATCAGAATAGCAGCGATACTATTTCTGACCGCTGGACCGTGACGTAGCAACGCTACTCAATACTTCATAGACTGACACTAGCCAGTGTTCCACAACCGCGCTAATTTCCGATACTGACGGATGAAAATGTTTTACCACCTATAAACCGCCTATCTGGGGTGGTATATCTCATTGTACAAGGGTTGGGTCAGATTGCAAAACCCAAGATGCGAACAGAGTTACCTTTCAATTACTTATCTCTATGCGCGTGGGCACTAACCGCAAACCGCCCCAATCATTACGTACCCTTTCTTGGAGGTTTCCTAGCTTTCATTGCTTCTGTATTCATTTGTAGTACACATATATCTGCGGCTGGCAGGCATCCTTATTCCGTCAGGGGAGCGATATTGTTTGCTGTTAGCCTGTTACCATCTGGCCTTCTTTATACTTGTATACTACTGACACCAGGCACAGTAGCATATACTTTTAGCCATGCCCGAAAGTTGTTTTTTATGTAAATCCTCATTCCTCCCCTCTTTTTTAGGCATCTGCCCGACGAGAGATCGCTCATACAATGGTTTTCCCGGGTACATTTGGCAAAGCGTTTTGCAGACTTCATCATCCTCCATGATTTGGATATTCTCTGCTCTGTGAGTACTTTTGAGATTACTTGAACAGTGTTGAACGCTATATATATATATATATATATATATATATATATATATATATATATATATATATATATATATATATATATATGCAGTCTGTTAACAGACATCGTGCCGTCAGAACCATGGCCGAAGAAATGGAGGAAATAGAAACACCAGATGCGATGAAAAAATGGAAAACGATTTTTTGATTTCACGCACGCCATTTTGAATTCTTCGTTTTTTGTTTCGTGATTTTTTGTGTGCCGTATGGGGGGTAATATGGCAGAACAATTTTGACGCCATTGATATCTGTTGCGGGCCATGACATCCAGTCTTTCCAACCTCTGAGATTCAGCATCTCGTGGTCCCCAACTTGGAAGACTGACTGGTCTGACTGCCGCCAAACTTCAGGTTGCCTACTTCATGCTCCTTCTCCACCTTATTGGCTGTCCACCGCGGCACTTTTTCCAGTCGCTCCCTGGGAGTGCAAATAGCGCTCGACGTGCAAGGCGATGGGTTGGCATACGCAAAACGTGCCCGAGCCAACGCATGCGATGTCGGGGAATAATGTCCTGAAGACTGGCACTATTCGCTCCAAGCATTTGTTCTCGCACCTCTGCGTTGGTTACGTGGTGTTGCCACCACACCCGAGCAATCCTTCGTAGACAGCGATTATCGAAGAGTGACAACCGCTTCATGTCTTCCGAGAGAATAGACCGTCTCACAGCTTTACAAGAGTACTGCACGGACGCCATAGGTGTCTCAGTTTGATGAATGCAAGGCGGGCCTTTGCAGTCCGTTGTGCGACTTCATTTTCAACACCGCCACCAGCCGTGATGCAACGCCCTAGATAAATATAGCAAGGGATTTGCTCCAGAACATGTCCATCAATTGTGAGCGCCGGTTCAGGCACCTGCCAATCCTGGAGCAACGTTTTACATTTTCCCGGATTGAAGTATAAGCCGTATTTAGATGCCTCAATCGCTTAGCCGTCCAAAGCGCTCTGGACAGTTTGTGGGTCTTCCGCCAGCAAAGAGATATCATCAAGGTAGTCCAAGTCCTTGACTCCGTCTCCATTTCTGGACACCTTCCAGTGCTCTTTGGACGACGTCTTCGATGGCGAAATTGAAGAGGAAAGGTGAAATAGGGCAACCTTGTCGAACACCGCTGGTCACAGCAAACGAAGAAGGGGCGTCCCCGACGTGTGGTTCTAAGGTTATTTCAGGATGGTTACAAACTTGTCGGGCACACCTTTCTTCAGTAAACAGTTCCACAACGCAGATCTATCCATTGAATCAAATGCTGCTCGGATGTTCAAGAACACTACGATTGTTGGCCACCGGTGAATGTGACGGAGTTCGGGAAGTTGGCAGAGCGTGAAGATTTAGTCGATGCAGCCGCGGCCTGGACAAAATTCGGCTTGTTCTTCTCGGGAAAACTCCTCTCTAGTCTTTGAAAGCCTGCGAAGTAGGGCTGACACAAAGATTTTGGACGCGACAGAGATAAATTAGTTTCCGCGGTAGTTACAGCAATCGTCGCGGGAGCCTTTCTTGTGAATCGGAACAATGACCGATTCTCCCCATGAGTTCGGAACCTTCTCCTCAGTCCAACTTTCGTGAACAGCGATAGGATTCTGCTGACAAGTATACTTCCGCCATCTTTGAATAGAGCCGAAGGTAGGCTGCCGGGATCAGGAGCATTGGGGCGTTTCAAACATTGGATTGCATCTCGGATCTCTGCTTCAGTTGGGAGACCTGTGGAGACAGGCCAGGCATCATCCGTTGGGGCTGGAGGTGCCACAGGTGGTTGTGTTGGGTGGTTGAATTGAAGAGCGAAATGCTCTGCCCATCGACCCAATCGTCTATGAAGGTTGATGATCTTAAAGCTGTCTGATTCGCAAATCCTCTGGCTGCTAGCGTGGGAATTGCAACCGATGACGCCGATAAAGCAAACTAGGCGGCGGAAGTTGCCAGCTGATGCAGCGGCTTCCATCTCATCAGCTCGTTTTGACCATCAGGATTTACCATCCGAGCGAAGGCTTGCTTTCAACTGTTGCGTAATAGACAGGCGGTGTTCGTTGTGCTCTGCGCCAGCAGGCACCACCCGGCGGCGATCCAGCAATTCCAAGTCTCTTCTCGAGATCCAGTTTTTGGGAGTGGAGCGATCGAGGCCACAGCTGGACAAACCGGCCGACAGCATGACTTGTTGCAGACTTGACCAGTGTTGATCAACATCCAGAGTGTGAATGAGAGAGAGCTTTTCACGAAGCCTTTGTTGATACTACATCTTCACCATTGGGTCATCGTACTTCTAGGTGTTCAGTCGGGTGTGTTTGGATCTAGGTGAACCATCGGAACGCATGCAAACGGTCGCACATACCAGTGCATGATCAATATCGACGCATCTTGACCAAACTGATCGGCAGTCGCGTACGCTTTCGCGCTACCTGTGACTTATGGCTATGGGGTCAATCTGTGACCAGCGCTGGGTTGATGATGGAGGGTGCCAAGTGGCGTGCTGGCGTCCAGGATGACGGAAGCTCGTACTGGAGAGAAAAAGCTGATGATTAGCACATAGACTGAGCATTCTCACTCGGTTCTCTGAACGAACATCATCATATCCATGCGGTCCCCCGAGGTGGCGTTCGCATGGCAGCAGCCGACCGACACGCGCGTTTAGTTCTCCTGCCAAAACAATGATGTCTGTTTTAGGAGCCTTTAGGAGCAGCTCATGAAGGTTCTGGTAGAACTAGTCCTTGACCGTATGAGAGCTACAGTCATTGAGCGCGTAGGCAGAGACCACGAAGAGAGCACACTCTTCGACTCAATGTCTGCTAACTTTACAAGAGCCATGGAGCCTCATCGCACAAAGGCGATTATTGATCGGAATCCAATTAATCAGAGCAGCCTCGGCTCTATCACTGAGGGCGATTCTAACGCCAGCTTGCACAGATGCGGCAGATCGGCGTCACCAGAGAGACGGGGGTGGAAGCGGGTGCGTGGGTGGAGCGGTGACGCCAGCTGATATATCGAGTTGGAATCCTAGAGTCGCATTTCACTCAGGCAGCAGACATCAATTGCAAGAGTCTCTAGCTTGCGTGCAAGTCCAGCTTGCTGAACCGTGTGCAGTAATGTGTCTACGTTGAAAGCTGCAAGTTTGAACTGCGTTCCGGGTTACAGGAGCGAAGATAGGAGACTCGGGGCTGGCAGCTCTCTGTTCAGCACTGTGTGGTTGAGTTGGCAGGTGTTACTGGAACAGATTCATCGGTGTAGGTGGGGTTGATCGCCTTAGAAGAATCAGGTAAAAATGGGTGTTAATGGTACAACGGGAGAGTAGATAAAATTTTCAAGGAATCACAGGCAATGCTGTTTTTCAACACAGCAAATATTCCCATTGTAATCAAACCAGTACTCGTGCTCTTGTGGTGCACGATACGTGGGTCGCACAACGAGACGTCTATCCCAGAGGATTCGCGAGCACATCCCGGCGTGGTTTTAC